ATTCTGCCATCAGATGCTGAAGAAATGAGACCTGCAGAAGAAGAACGTTTGCCGGGCACGTCTGGAACCACTCGATTACGCACAGCGCAGTCAGATCGAGAGGACGTGTTGCCATCCGATGAGGAAGGCAGTGAAGACCAAGAAAAAGAGGAAAAGCCTGAGAAGAATCGGAACCTTCTCCTTCCGACCGTTATCACTGTGCCAGCGACAGCAGACAGTGAGAGGCCAGCGACAGCGAATAGCGATGACGAGGAGATTTTGCCTTCTGACGACGAGGAGCCAAGTAATCACGTTGAGACCCATAGCGATGACGAGGAGGTTTTGCCTTCTGATGACGAAGAGCCAAATAGTCACATTGAGACCGAAGCCCGAGTCCAAACTGCCAACCACGAGGAGACGCCTCCACCTGCTGAGCCCGAAGTCGACGATTACCACGATAGGGAGGAAATTCTTCCATCAGACGACGAGGAATTAGAAGAACGCGCAAGAGCAGCGACGAAAATTCAAGCAGCTTATCGTGGGCATCGCACGAGGAAAGCTCTAAAAAGTGAGAATTTTCAATACTTTTGACTTGTTTCGGTTCTTTTTTCAGGAACTGCAATATTAGATGGCACCCTAGAAATCCCTGACGCTGTTCTTGAAAGAAAACGTTCAGCCTTTCCACAGTGACTTTTCTCTCTGAGGGCTTCCTGACAGATAAAACAATATCGTCGCAATCATTCGGGGCGGTTCCAAGACGGATGGACCGAGCCCACTCGCAGCGTTTTCCACCACTGGTAGTTTTTCACTCAAAAAGATCACTAACCGGTTACCATTGGTGGAGACAGGCTCCCGACTCACTACCCGTGTCGAATCGCCAGGACTAATTGCGACGATATCTACTATATGTGCGGACCGCTCAAGGAGCTCCACTTAAAATTCACCAAGCATCAGCAACTGGCGCAGTTCGGCGACGGAGGGGGGGGAGGGCAATTTGCATTTTTGCTACTTCCCATCGACGTGTCGATGCATCTAGAGAGCCCTTTCGTAAGTTGACAATAGGTTTCACCACAGCTGGACTCGATTGAGCTAATGACCTCCAGCGTCCACAGATGAGTTACCACGCTTCATCCAAAGAAAGTTACGCACCTTTGAGCCAGTGGACGCAATTGAAGGGCAAAAAATGCAGTCTCCGTCGCAAACAGATAACTTAACAACTTCTAGAGATTCCAATAATAATGGTCACCCGAAGGTATGTTGAGATGGAAAAGCACTGTCGCCAGTAGTTGGAAACTCGTCCCGTAGGCGGCACTATCCGAAATCAAGACCAGGTCTCCGTCAAGTAATGTCATCGTTGGAGCCCTATTCACATTATGCACAGTTTTCTCAACATTCTTGTTAGTTGTTGTCACATAAAGAGATTTAGAAGTATACTTCACAGAAGAACCGTCAGTTGTGATCGAGCCCACGAACGAAGCCAGCGAAGAGCCGACTCCTGCCGAAGAAAACAACGCAGAAGGTTTTTCCCTTTTTCCCCTCGATCATTCCTTTTACTTTTTAGGAAAAATAAGTAGGTTCTCAGAAAGAAAGACATAAAACGTACTTCCTGGCAGTTTGCCGAAAAGCAACCGAGATCGGCGCTTTACAGACGTGGGTTAGGAGATCCGAGTTGCGGCATCGCAGCGGAAACGCTATCGGAGTAGCGTTGGATGCGCGGCACATGCAATACGCACTGCAGCGAAGACGAGTCAATCATGAACTGCTTGTAGCAGTGCATGCAGTCACTTAAAATGTCTCAACTCAGAATTCGTGGCCTACTTTCATGAACAACAGTGATTTCCCGTGTTGAACTTATTATAGTTCTCTATTTTCTCACGTCTGTGCTCAGCATAAACCATTCAGCGTCCAATACACTACAAAAGGACCACTTTTTGGAGCATACTGGACGTTCTTCAAATCAAATTAGGCGTATTGTACGTCTATTTCCATCCCGCCTGTTGAAGAAGTCCTACGTTATTGGGAAATCGCCTACTTTGATTTGGCAAACGTCCGGTTTGGTTTGAGAAACGTTCAACTTGCTTTGAAAACTGTATGATCAAAGGCAGTTGGCACGATAATTTTACTCGGCCTAAAATGCTAGCAGGGCGCTATATAGTGGGGAAAATGGCGAAAAAACGAAGTGAAACGGTCAAAAACCTGCGAAGAAAAGCCTTCGTTCTCAATGACTCAAAAACAATTTCGGACGAGTTTCCCGTAGGCATCTTGCCAATAACCGCTACGGTAGGTACGGCTGCACGTGTGTACTCA